CAATAATCGTTAGAAAACAGAGACATGAATCTCTCTACTGTAACCATCACATGCATCTGATCATGTTACTGTGCTGAGATGCAGCATGTAGCGAAATTCTCTTGAAATAAACCCAGTGCTGAAACTTTGATATCTGCTGTTTGTAAGTGAATATTTTTAATCCTCTGATCCGATCCGTGAAATACATCCCGTGTTTTACCTGACGCCTGAAGTTACTTCCCCATAACCAAACTTTTACCTTCCTCTTTGCACGCTGACTTGTTCATGGATAAAACGACAACACACACAATCATGTGACAACAACTCACTCCGTGTTTCCTGCGCCGGATGATCCCAGCATCTCGCTCTGGTGTCTGTGTGTGCGCGCGTGTGTGTCTCCTCTAAAAGCCGCAGTTCCCTTCAGCTCGTGGACGTTTTCATCGCGGCGGCTTGTGTCCTCCGCTTCCTTCCGCTCAAGTCTGCGGCTCCGCACGACACCACACGAGTGTGCGTCATGTGACATCAGCAGGACTCGTAACTGTGCTGATCTGGAAACAGACGGAGCCACCGGGCTGCGGAGGAGCGCCGCGTGAGAGGCTGCTCCTGGGTAAGCGTTCGGAAGTAAGTGGCTGCTCTCTCTTCAGTGGCTCGATCGCCCGCCCTGCAGGAGCCCGGTGATCAGTGAGGCAAGGGAAAGTCATGTGCTGGTGCCTGAAGTGGGCCACATGACTGAGAGGCTGTGATGCAGACGACAGGTTGGTATTTGTGGAATTTAGCTCCATGGCTGAGATTGAGATTAGACGTGTTTGTGCTCTGCGTTTGTTGGTTTGCGATGAGGAGAAAAAAAAACATTTATTACTATATATGAGGAGGAACAAGAGAAACTGAAGATCACCATGACACAGAGATTAAGGCCTGTGGCCTGGATATGTGTAAATATCAAATGAAAACATATATGGAGCTGAATACTTGGCCAGCATTAAATAGTTCCAGTTAACAAATTTATAGATATGATGTTTTTAAAATAGTTCAATTGTAAAATGTAACAATTAAACATAGCAAAGCAAAATCTTCTAACACAACTATGGGTTTTAAAAAAACATAATTATTGTTATATTAGAGAGATAAGACATTTAAAATACACTTCAAACTCAATATTGCCTCCCATGTTTGTTCCTAAATAAATCTTGGAGATTTTTCATCACCTTGTAACACACTTATACTACATATATGCTACATACATACAAATACACACTCGCCAAACACCAGGCTGTTTCTCAGAGAATGTTTTGATGGCTGCAACAAATCTGTGTTGTATCATAATATTCAGCAAAGATTGTATGCTTGGCTTCTGAGCGGTGCAAAGAACCCCATAGCTACATAAATATTTATGTTTTATTAACCTTGCTTGGGTCAAAATGGTCCAAAATGCCAAGAGTTCTACATCGTGGGCCAGAGTCTAATCTAATCCATCGGTTTTCTGGGGATCCAGCATTCATGGAAGTCTTATTTAAGCTGACTCCTGTATATACAGAGTAAACATCATGAAATCCTCAGTGTTTGCGAACAGGGCAAGGGGGCCTTGCATGTCTCAAAATGGATCACTGAGTATAAACAGTGTAAGGCAGGCCTGGGTAACAGTTACCTCCACTAAGGAGGCATTGTCACGCAGGAGTGGCCAGACATGGCGCAGTCCTCCTCAATCACGACACAATTAGATTTTGTCAGAGGAAGTGATGCTCAGCAGTTGTTATCACAAGCTACAGGTTTATATGATGCAAAGTTCGCCAAACAAAACTATTTCCATGGATTGGGCTGATAAGACCCTGGTCTGAATGTCAGGAAGTTCACTGAGGCCTCGTTGCTCGATATCGCCTTGGACAGTTATTGTCAAGCTGTTACTTACAGGTCAGAGGTACTTCATTTAATCAATAAACATACTTTTGATTTTAGCAAGTTACATTTTCAAATCAGAAATTATTTCAATTCGGTTTTGCCTTGGCAAAGTTTCTGTTGTCGGTATCAAACATGTAGCTGATCTAAGAGCCCTTTGAACTCCTGCTGACAACTGATTTACAGCAATTTTTCTTGAGAAAGTGCAGAACAATTCAAGTTGCTTATCCTTCTGTACCTTAGCATGTCTGCCCTGCCTCACTCTGTTTTTCCAGGTTTGTATGCGCTTTACAAATAAATAATAATCTAAATGTGCATATACAGTATGTATAGCCTTTGTAGTGAATAATATTTTTCTCCTCACAAAACCACTGAGTCAGTGGACCAGGTGTGAATGAGCCTGGTTTGATTCCTACATGTCAACAATGTTTGCCTGTTTAAATTCAACCACATGTGAAATGAGAAGTTCATTTCTGCTGCTTATGCAAAAGCAAAAGCCCATTTCCTGTGAATGGAACTTAAAACAAAAATATAATCAAAGGTACATGCTTTGGATCACAGCTCTTGAAGGGCCGCCAGTGTTAATGACTCACTGTCAGGAAACTTCAGTACAGTTCAAGCCCGTCTTGCTTTCTGTGGAAGTGCCGTTTGAGCATGAAAGGCTTGTCTGGGAGAAAGTGAAGGGACCTGAATGGCAAGCATTTTATCACATTTTATCTTGTCTTTTAACTCCTTTCTACATGATCCTACCAAGCAGATCCCAGTGGTCTATACATCAGCAGACACTGAGCCAGGTCTGGCCCAGGTTTAGGGCCAAAGCCGAGGTCTGGAGGTTTAGCCCATCCTGGCTTTATGTTTCCCATCAGCAGCTTCCTCATGCAGTGACAAGACAGCACTTTTCTCACTACAAAGACTTGCTCCAGCTGCTTCTTCAGTTTGCGTATGTGCACATAAGAGTGAGCGAGTGAGAGGACCAATAATGGTACCTTTAATACTCAGGTGCCTTTGATGAGGATTTTGCTAGAATTAGACCGTTTTTATTTATAGGTCCTTTCTTTGTGAGGGTATTTCAGCTTTTCTATAAATCATATCTTCTCATCTCTTTCTTTCTTTTTCTTCTCCTTGTGACCATGTGCTTCTGCAGACCTCTTTCACATCCTGAGAACTGCTGTGGAGTCTGGTTGGATTGCTCAACGTTAATTCACATGATGGGGCTTAGCTGTTTATACACAAGTACAGTACTTCAAAATCATCTCTTGCATGCAGCAGTGAGTTGACGGGCAACGTTTAATGTAGTTTTACTGACAAACTAAAATCAGAGTAGGAAAGCATTCCTTTCTTCAGTGCAGACTGATTTTCACTGAGTAATATACAACTTCGTAGGTGTTTGTAGGTGTTTATTATCAATGTAAACTTTTTTTTAACAAAAAATAATATATATGCACACTTTCCATATTAAAATAATACTCTCCAAAAGAAATATGAACATCTCTACATTAACTATAAACACATTCAGAGGACAAATATTCTTTATATTTAACATGTTCAGGCACTGAACCTGCTCCTGCTTATCTAGAAATGTTACCATTGTCCTTATTCATGTCAGTGTGGAGCACATATTAAGCAACATGATTAAATCTCCGAGTGACTATTAACACAGTCACTTGGTCACCCTGTTATTTAATGAATTGGCTCTTAAAAGTTATTTTTGATTTTGCGTTACAGTTGGGGCATTAGTACCACTAACATAACTGAGTCATTTAGAAAAGAAATGTAAAGACAAAGTAAAGTATTTAATCATATAAATTAGGTGTATACTGTATGTAAGTAAACATATCAAGCTTAAATCACTTATTTTCATTATTCTTTTTTATGTACAATACATTATCTAATAATATATGACAGTAAATCTGTACAAAATTATGTAAAATATAATATCATGTATATTTAAACTAGCAGCATAAGAGGATTATAAAATGTGAGATCACACTGAAGAGATAGTGAGATAAAATACACCTGAAAAACTGGCATCTTAGAGTTTTTGAATCTAAAGCAAAACCCAGATTTTGTGTGTACGCAGGCTGTGAGAGGACAGATGTTATGGATGAGTTCACATTGTTCTTCAGCTATACATCGCTGCAAAGCAGTACCAGCGACACATCCTGGCTATGGTACTCTGCAGTTAAATTGAAACCTGCAGCAGAAAAGCAACGATACACAAAACACACAAAAACAGCCTTTAAAAGAAACAGATTTTCCCTTCAAGCCACTTGATATGGCAAAGGAAGAAACGTATACTTTCAGTGGCACATCAAACAGGCTGGACAGACACATCAGTAGCTTTATCAATAATAAAACACATGCACACATTCACAGACACACACCACTTGGTAAGTCCAGGCCTGACCTCATACACACCTCGGCATTTTCTCTTTGTGGAAAGGATCAAGTCAAACTAAAGCTGACTTGTGTACGCCTCAGAAACGCTGCCTGTTGAGTTTTCTCTTTTTTTCCCTCTGTCTACGAAAGAATAGAAAAAAAGAGAAAAGAAAAAAACTCTCTCCGAGACACAGAGATAACACACCCTGGGTTTGACAATCAGAGAGAATAAAAAATATAGCTTAATCAGAAATGTGGACTTTTTGATATTGCATTTCTGTAACTATGAACTACAAACTTCATACAAAGGCGCAAAACAACCACTGTTCAAACAAGTCTTGTAGTATCTGAGGAACTGCTGGTGAAAAGAACTGAAAAGTGTTCAGTGCAAACTGTTTTATGTGTCTTGGGCAAGTCTTTCTTTGCTGGACCAGAGAGGAGAACAATGGAAGAGCTGGGTTTATTTTAATATGGGAAAGTGGTTTAAATATTACCACTGATAATTGTTGAGGAGGCTTTTGTTAAACCAGAGGATTGTGCTGTATTCAAGCCATGGGCTACTGAAGTATCCTTGAGCAAAACAACATCCTGATTCCTAATTCTGACCTCCGTCTGTTTTCATGGACAGATGAAAAAAAAAAAAAGAGGAGCCACACTGTTTTTTAAGCTTTGAGTCAAGTTGGCAGGGGGTTGTTGGTTTGATAGACGTCTGAGCATCACGCCTATATCTCAGGGGTGAGGGGTCGGTGTTATCTTCGACAGGCGTATGCGTTAATGTTCTTGATTACATAAAAGCCTATGGTCATGGGAGGCATGGCTATTGTCCGTCCAGCCCTCAATGTCTTAGGCTTCAATTCTGGGAATGTCTCATTGTCCGACATGAGCAGCCTCTCCCCGTTCAGCTGGACATGTCTGCAGAGAGAAGAAAGGAAGCACAGACTGCATTAGACACAGTCTGCTTCAGACTCATCACATAACTCTGGTAACCCTTTCACAGATCACAAATGCTTTACATCCATAAAAAAAAAGAATACACTATCAAAAACATTATTAAATATGGCAATGACAGCAAACAGTACAGGGCTGACAAGTTAAATTCACAGCCACAACAAACAAATTAGGAGAGAGACACAAAAACAAGTACAAAAGTTCCACTCACAGACAAGGAAATAGACCAATAAAAAGCAATGAAATAAAATGGAGCAGCTATTCAGACAGGCTAACTAAAAGCCTGCCTGAATAAAAGACATTTTCAGCTGCTTCGTAAAGAATTCACAGGAGTCTAGGGATCACAGTGACAAGGGGGAGAGCATTCCATAAACTGGGTGCAACAGCTTGAAACACACGGTCACCTCTGGTTTTATAGCAGGTTCCAGGGACAGCCAGTAATTTTTGCTCAGCAGACCTCAGAGCTCGAGTGGCCGTACAAAGGAGGAGGATATCAGCAATATCCTGGGGTGTTTGACCATGCAAGGCTCTAAAGGTCAGCACAAGTATTTTAAAATGAATGCTGAATTTAATTGGGAGCCAGAGCAAAGAGGATAAAATTGGCGACCTCTTGTTCTTTCTAGTTAAAAACTGAGCAGCTGCATTTTGGACAGTTTTATTCAAACTGGTAAAAAAAAAAAGAGCATTAAAATAATCTAAACAAAAAGAAAAGTGAAAGAATGAAAAATTTAAAAGAAAATGACAAACATGTTGAGTTTTTTCACCTTATCAAAAAAAGAAAATGTGGACCCTCTCATGCATTCAGTCTTTAAGCGTTATGATTCTGTCAGTCGTACACTTGGGGGTGCTGCTGTTACAAAACTGCAACTTCACAACTGCACAGTAATACAACTTGACTTTTTGAGTAGAATCTGCATGCAGTAAAAGCTAACCTATTTCTCCATAATAGTTTGGAGTTAACTGCAATGAAACAGTCAATTTTAAAGCAAAAAAATATTCTAATATCCTTTGCAGTAATACAATTATGAAAACTATTACTAATATCAATATTTGAAAGAAGGTTTTTCAAAGACAAATTGTTCAAAATATTATTTGGGTATAATTTAATTTGTAATGTTTCTTAATTAAATTACAATTTAAACCTGATGTACAGTAGGTTACAAGATGCAAAACCTTCGTCTTCTTTCTTTGCACAGAGAACAGAATGAGTTGTAGAGAGTATTAAGAGTATTCTTTCTGTTTTCATTCTGGTAATTCCTGACATGGCATCAATAATATTTCGTAACAAGTTTACCATCACAAAACATTTAAAACAATATGAAATATTACTGCAGAGTAGCTGGAACACATAACAGTCATAAGTTAAGGTATGTTAAGGTAAGCTAAAGTTAAGGTAAAAGTTTGGACTATAATTTATTTTGGAAGAAAAATCAAGCAGGAATATATTATTAAACTTATTGCTTAACAGCCAGCTTGAGTATGACTTTCACAATTTTTTCATTTAAAACAACTTTGTTTGTATTTATCTGTACAAGATATTATTTAAGTATAACTATCAGTAATTGTGACATAATAAATAACGTTCTAAATAGAAATGATCCCCTTATTGAGTATTTGGACTGTAGTGATTGCTTTTAGCCCGGAGCTTTTCAACTTCAAAGTGCTGCTCTTATGAGTAACCTTTTTTATTATATCGTTATATTGTAAAGTTAACCACAATAGTGGTCTGGATATTTTTACGTGAACCTCAAATTCAATAAAATATCAAATAAAATTATGTTCAACAAGGAGAAGATATGAATCAAACTGCAGTGCTCAAAGCTTTCCGTCAACATGAATGGACCTGAATACTTGATCACCGTTAACAGAAAGTCCCACTACGCAGACATATTTATGGACATCTGGTGTTGCTAAATTTTTCATAAAAGTCTCCCTGCGCTGTGTGTGGTAACAGAAAGCACTTAAGGCCTGAAAAAGGCCCGTCGTTAGCTTGCTCTCCTATTAATTGACTTGCAATAATGTTCTAGCACCTAAAACATCCTCCATCATTACGCTGTTATTGAAGGATCATGCCTGAGCCTCCATTAAGGCTGTATGGAGGTATCGTATAACACAAAGACACACACACACACACACACGCAGTCCTGAGTCAATAGGCTGTTATTCCAGGATTTGGGGCTTAAGGCTGAGGCAGAATAACAGGCCAGGGGCTTAAAGGAGAGAGGAAGAGAATGAAAGCGTATACTTTTTATTTTAAGGCACGTTTTAAGGAAATGGGAATTATATTACCTAGTTAAAGTGCAATATATCATAGTAACAAACTGCATTGAGAACAGAACTCAGAGGTAAAACTCAGAGGCATGAATATAAAATGACTTGGGAATCCATTGATAAAACATCTGTTGTAGGCAATAAAACCAGATTCAAACAAGAGACGCAAACACACTGGAACTCAGGGAAGAACTCTGGGCTCTGTGAATGTTTCCTTTTATATCCAAGATGACAAGCTTCAGTAAAGCAGTACCATATTTATGACAGTCTGAATTAATAGCTAACATTAATAGTTTTTCACGGACAAAGGAAAAATAAAAAATGGTTAATCACCTGTATTATTTTTTATTAGCTTTTCATTTGTTGTATTATTCTTTATGAGTTTGCTTGTTGTCTTAGGCTAAAATCTAAAATCTAGATAAAGACAGGAAGAAGTTATTGTATGTAAGCATATGTGTATTCACGCAACAACTTGGTGAGAACCATACAGCTCAAGTCCAACACTAATTGTTGTCTTAAAATTCATTCATGCCAGTGTTTAACACCTTATCAAGGTTGGAAAAAAAATACTTAAGACCCATAAAACTTGTTTTTGAAATTCTCATTATCCCTATTTCTCATCTCAACGCCTTTCAATTGTTTTGCATGTTATTTATTTATTCATGTTTATTTTATATGAGCTATGACAGGACTGGGAGACTTGTGATGCTGTTATAACCTGGGTCTCTAACCAGTGCATTTATCTTGTTTGATCAGCATGAATGAGTGGAACCGGATACTCTACAAGAAGACCACATTGTTGATTGACCAAAAAACAATTATTCAGTGCCAGCGTGTGTGTATATGCATGTGTATGAGAGATGTATGGGAGAGAAAGATACTCACTTGGCTCTGAGTCCGTCAGTGCCGTACGGTTGCAGCAGGTACTGATGGACAGTTTTGTTCCGTAACGTCCCCGCCAACTTGATTTTCTTTCGCGACCGATGCAGGTTGATGATGTAGATCGTTATGGACCCTCTCACATAGTTGTGACTGTTATCATAAAGAAAATAATGAAAGATTACATTAATATTCTTTACATTTAGAAATGAAAATCGGGACACAATATGAAAAAGAGGCTCCGTCCCACATCTGCTAATAGGGATTCATTATATATTACAGTGCCATGTTGAATAAAATTCTCTATAATTAAAGATGACTACAAAGAGAAGAAAGTCTTTGATATTTTTATTACATATAGTAATAGCATCAAACCACTACTCTTTGATCTGATCTAGATCAAAAGGCTTGCAGAAAAATAATAAAGATAAAGCATGAAGCAAGTTGTCCTAAAACCGATCATTTATATTTAGTATGAATGACACATTTCATTTTCAAAGCCTTTATCATCCTTATAAAGCCTATCTGATACAACAATCTGCTTCTCTTATTCAGTATTCAATATTAAAACTTGTTGCTGTATGGTCCAGGGTCAGATGAAGGGTGTGAACACAACGGGCAGCACTTCTTAAGTTACACAGACAACAGTGTTTGAGTCCCTCTCCTGAGAGCAAAGCACTGGGGACACAACTTGATAAGGATATGGGCAAAAGGTAAATAACTAAGTGAGACAGATAAGACAAACATGATAAAATCTAATAAGGGCCCAGATATGAGGACAAAGACAACACAGCTGTAGTGAATACCACATGTCGGCCCTGGTGTTCAGGGTCAGGGCTGTGCATTGGCCAAACGGTCTGGTAGACACCTCTCTCGCTTACCACCTCTAAACTCATATCTTTAAAGCAATCTTGGTTTTTGGTTTGATGTTTATCTTTGCTCTTTTGGGCACAGGGTGAGCCATTTATTTCATCAACCCCGCAAGACTGCTAATATTCAATACATTTACCAAGAGCAATAAAGTAGAGTGCTGTCGGCAGGAACGCTGTGTGTCTGGCTCTGTGTTAAACTAATTCAGCCGCATTTCTGAGAAACGTGGACCATGGCTCCGAGAGATAGATCAGATGGTTAGATGGAAGTGAGAGATAATGACCTCTAAGGCCTTTCAAATGATGAGGCTCTTAGAGATCCAAACCAGGAACATAAACATGTGTTGATGCCGTTTGATGTTGGAGCATCTCTGGAAAGTGAAAAAAATGTCAAGCAAACCACTAAAAGGGGTAAAAGGCCGGTGAAAGTCAAATATCTAATCTGCAAAGACTTTTCAAACCACTGACTGCCTGAGCACATGTATAGTCTTTGCTGTCTAACACAGTACAGTCAAACCGCTAAGACTACAATAGATCGTCCACTTGTGGGATGACTGAGTAAAACCACAAAGTGGCAGAAATAATGGCAAGTGAAGTGGCTTTGGATTCAAGAGGGACTGCTTTAGTGCTTCATTGATCAGATGAGTCCAGGGCTAATTGGTATGTTAAGTGGAGCTGAGCAGCACCACATGCCATGGACATCTCCTTACTTCCAAATTCACCATACTTACCAGGTGGCTGAAAGAGGACACTCGTTGAAAACTATTTCAAATATTTGCATACATGTCATCAGGCCTCATGTGGCTTTGTTTGTTGGTTATGCAATTCCTACCCATTTATCGACCATCTATCTTTGCAGTGCTCCACTATTTTTCTAAAAGATGCTCCGCCTGTAAACGAGCCCTGTCTAGGGTAAGGCCGTAAGTCTAGCCTGGTGCTGACAGCCACTGGCCTAGGTTAAATGATAACCTTGAACAGGCCATGATGGCACTCTTTATCTCCTCCCGGCACAGACCACCTTATTGTCCCTCCCCCTCCCCCTCGGATACCCCCCTCCAGCCAATCCGAGATGGGATAAAGGCCTAGCACACCTTTCAGCGGCTCTTTGACGGCAGGGAGACAGAACCCACACACCTGATAAGTGATACCCGTTAAGTTTTAAAGGCTCTGAGCTGTGAATGAGCAGGTGTCTGCGGTCTACTTATTTATGAGAAGCCGAATGGGCCGGCTGGGGATTTTGTTCTTCCCCACCAGACACTGTGCCTCAGGTGTTTGCAGCAGGACACAGGACACAGAAAAAGTTAACACTGTCTGTTTTCCATCTATATCTTCCAAGACATTCCCAATGTATTACTACACATCACTTAAAGGCCAAGAGCATGTGTGCCTTGTCATCTGTCTGTCTTGAATTTGAAAAATCACGGCATATAATGTACACGCTTGGTTTGTTTAAGTGCAAGTTACAAACTAATCCAAGGTGGTTAGGTTGTAGCACTTACTTGTAGTAGCTGGTACAGTGGGCGTAGATGCGTAGCTTGTCTCGTATGACTCGTCCTGGTTGTGGCCTCCTCTGTAGTCCAGCCACCCGCACCGCTAAAACCCTCGGACCAACCAGACGCTTGAAGACCAGAGAAAACCAGTAATCCTGTAAGGGCAACACCATTACATACAGAAGCACACAGACACTGGCATTACTTTCTATGCCAGTATGGGTTCATTTTCTCATCATAATGCTCAAGGAAGGATTCTGTTAAAAGACACAATGCCAAAGTGAGCAGGTGTGGAAAGGACGTTTTAAAGACCTAATATGTAAGGCAGCTGTGAAACAATTTAAAATCATTGCCAACTCCACTGTATTTAAATTCATGAGGATTTTTATTGAAAGAGACCTTTTATAACAGCAATGTTGGATTCTGGATTCCCCTGAAAGGAAATATTGCTAAAATTTCCATTTTGTTTATTCAGTCATGAAATGCCCTGGTGATTGTGCAAACAGATTAAGTTTTGCAAACTGTGAGTATTAAGAATGTGCCAGCAAAACAGCTCGTCTGCGACGGGGTGAAAATTAGAGATATAATCCACAAAAATGTGAGATCCAGATATGTCAGCACTCTGACACTCAACATTTTGTTGGAACTGACTGTCCCATGTAACATGTCACATTGTATCTAATAACCGCTGACCCGTTTAGAAATTGACAGGTCTTAAATATGACATTTTTACTAAATATTATGTTCAATCATGAATTGCTGTTTTCTCTTATCATTGTTGAGTGGTACACTATACTGTGTCTCACTCTATAGACTACACAGACTCAACACCTCTCCAAGAGACCCAGAACAACATGTGTTCCTCAGGAAGTTCCCATGCAATCCTGCATATGGCAACATTTAAGGGCTTCTTTTTTCCATGCAGACTTTAACTTAATTTGCTGCCAAGGCATCGAAGAAGCAGAGCACAGTATGGAACTGTATAGTGTTGGCCACAAGCACAGGGATGGAAGGACAAATGTATGGCCAGAACTGTGATCTGTGATTATTGTGTAGTGTATAAAACAAAGAACAGTTATGAGTCTAGAGTTTTACTTGTGCAAGCTAGCTGGAGAGGTGATGCATTCTTGCTCTGTGTTTTAAAAATTTTAAAACCCAAGTAAAAGAAACCATGATAAATTGACATATTTCAAACTATGGCTGTGTTAAAATCCCTGACCTGAAACCTGAATTGATGGGACACACTTCTGACATTTTTTTGGGAAATATCAGCTGAGGTCCTAAATCTTCAGTGGTCTGACTGTCTGCCCGTTTTCCTGTCTAATTGCCTGTCTGTCTCCCTGTCTTTTTCGCCCCCAGCTTTTCTTATCTGGATAGATAGACAGATGAACAGAAAGACAGACATCGATTAGCGGAACAACCATCACTTTCACGTCAAATCAAAATACCATCTGAACCCAAAAAACAGAGTGAAAGACAGATAGGCACAAGTAAACACGTAACATGTCAAGGACTCCAGAAAAGTAAAACAATACACCAGAGACCAATCAAACCTCAGCTGCATAGTTAAGTGAAAAGAGGATGGTAACAAGGAAGATTAACCTTTAATGTTTTGCTAAATAGGTCAAATGTGAGTCTGATTGCCTGGTTGAGATCCTGTTTATGTCTCAGCATCCAAGAAGTTCAACATTTCAGTGTTTTTAATTTAGAAGCATACAATCTCCAGCAAGCTTTAACTAAATAGACTTTTCAAAATGAGGAAAAGCACACCCAGGAAGAGGTAAAAAATATCTAAAGGCATACCCACAATATGCAGAGTCATGAAGGTTTGCACGTTGAAGTGTTCAACATGGGGAGAAGCCTGCTGTCTTATCTCCCTGCTTTGTATCTGAGAAAAAAATATTTTTTTCTGAGGGCTAGATAAATGTTGTTAAGGTGGGGCATTTGAATGGCAATTTTTTCAGATAGGAGCAATATAATTTCACCTGCCATACACTATATACTGACATCTCTGTTCCTCAAAGAATTAAGTTTACAACATACCTCTGGAGGCATACAACAGGTGAGGAGTGTGAATAAAACAAAACAGAAAAAGGAGAAGATGATTGGAACAGAAGAGCGAGCAAGAAAAAAGGGAAGGGGTAAGTGTGGAAAAGGGTGAAGTGGGCCCAGGTCTTTGACTGGATTGTACCAATGGGGGAGTCATCCTAAAGGGGAAGGGGCCAGGTCATAAATTTCCCATGCAGAGGACAGGTTGGCCCTGCAGTGCATTCTCTCAGCAGGTAGGCTGGTGCAGCTTTCAGACATCCAGCCATGTTAAAAGCATTGTGATCCAAGCGGGAGACCATTATTCCCAGAAAAATAATGGAGTCGAAGAGGGAAGGAAATGAAGTCATCTCGATTATTTAATATCATATAGTTGAAGAGAGGTAGAAGAAAGTGCATGTCTGCGAGACAGAACTAATGAAAGTTTAAGTTAAATGTTATAGTCAGATTTTGCAGTGTTAGTGGTTTGTTTGTTAGTGGTTGAAGTGGTATTTTGAGAGTGCCAATACTCATTCTAGCAGCTTTTTCTGACCAAAGAAAAAATAAAAGAATCTGGAATAATAACAAACGTTTGATAAATAAGATAAATGCGTTGATAACATCGTCTTTCTCCTTTATTATAGCAACAATATTTTACTGTGCAAGTCCTTAATGTAAGCCTCTCGCCCCCGCTTTGCCTCGGCTTAATATGAACAATTTTTTTTTCTTTTTATGAACTTAATAAAAATGTTTTATGTACTTGGCTGGTGGTAGCTTTTTATCACTCCCTCACACTTAAAGACTTAGAAGTCTCCATATTTATTAATATGTTTGAGTATAAAGGAACATTATGACCTCAGATGAATGTCTCCTACACATCTGTGGTGTTCAAATTCAGGCTAATCATGTGCAAATACATAAAAGAACAGTGTATTTCACAGTGTTGTGGACTCAGCTTGTTGTGTTTCTCTCTGTAGCATTATTGAGACCAAACCATGGAGGAACTTGGGACTGGGCAGTTCCATTTCACACAGTGTTGCAGGCTATTTTACTAACGTGCCTGTGTATCAGCATCTCAGGTTACAGATCTCTCACCGGCCGACTGTCCCGCACAGAGAAGCACACAGTTGTGATGGGGGTTGAGGGGAGCAGTGACACTGTCCTGAGCTACTGACAAAGGGCTAAGGTTACATGGCATTTCGCCCCCGCGTCTATCCACTCATCACCACTAAACGCCTTTCATCTCAGCTAATAGCTCCCACGGGAAAGAGCGAGAGGTGCCATCGAGGCACTGGGTCTGGTACAGAAAAGGTCCAGAGCATAACAGGACCGCTCGGGTCAGATCCTTGTTATTATGATGAAGAAAGGTGAATTGAGGCCCTGATAATGTGAACCAACAGCCATTGTAATCCTTGCTGAACTGAAACTGAGAGACTTACAGGTAACGGGTTGAAGTGCTGGTCCACAAGGTGTGTGTATCCGTAGTCAAAGAATGAGTGACGCAACACAACATCTATCCCCTGCATAGCAGCCATACCCAGCGTGTTCACCCACCTGAAACACAAATGAACATGCACACAAAACTATTAGGAATGTGATATATAGCGCTGATAAAACACATAACACATTGGGAATAAATACTTATTTCTTGCGCAGCTGGTTCAGTTCATTATCTACAGAACAGCTACAGTATGATAACAGTACTTACAGAAAGCCAGCAGCGTATGTGTCAGAGAGATTACTAATGCCTCCTGCCCATGCCGGCCCCAGTCCGCCAAGCCACACCTTCTTACCAGGAGTATGTGTGTTCACAACCTACAATGAGGGATGAAAACAAAGGTGTATCAACAAAATCCATCCTGAATTCAACTTTGTGAAAGCGCCATATGAAATTTGCTTCAGGGTCTTTTGAATCAATACGTTCAAATTTATTTTAAGGACCATTAAAATAGGATGATGCATTTTTAGTAATCCATGATTTTTTTTTGTTATTCTATATAATGTTTTCCTGTTACTGACTGAATTTTAGTGAGTCTGCAAGCTGATGTAAAGTCATTACAGCTGACAACGAAACAGAAATATAAATGTAGACACTGATTAATAAAAAATGCACATAAAGAAACACAAAAACCTGATCTCATTGACTTTGGTAAGGCACAGAAGAATCCCACTCCTGTTACATATCATTGAATGTTTTAAGTTTTGTTCTTGGGAATGGTTGCTTCTTTTTCCCCGAGGCACTTTGGCGCTGTTCATCTATGACAACTCAGCAAGTCAGCCGCAGCAGCCAGTGTTGATAATATTACCTCATGGTGGACACAACCCTTTTACCCTGAGGGTTCACTCCTGTGGTTTGCACATATGGCTTTATAATCAAAAAAACTAGCTGAGATCTGAATGATCCATAACTTGGCAAACTCAAAAGAAATGCAAATATATTGCATGATGAAAATTAGTTATTTCTTCATATTCTCCCTTGAGGCCGTCTGAAAGTCTAAACTGATAAAAATAAAAATTATTTAACAGGGAAAAGGACCTCTGAAATATACGCCAGACATTAATCTTATTTTGTGCAGTACAGATCTAGAACTGAATTAATTTTCTGCACACACAGTATATATAAACTGAAATCATTTATGGAGGAAAGCTTATGTACCTTGGTGACTTTAGTGATCTGCTCCGTCAATGTGTCCAACAGACGGGTTTTTAGGAAGTCCTCCACTTTGTTCACTCTGCCGTCCATGTAATAGCTGTAATGAGAATCCAGGGGAAAGGCTGTGAGAGAAACACTCTGTACACACTGTAAAATGTGATTTTTATTACAGCACAGCACATAATAAAAACAATAAACTGATATGTACACATTTTATTTTTTTCCATCCATCCATCCATCCATCCATCCATCCATCCATCCATCCATCCCCCCTGCCTAATCTCTTCAGTTTGAATTTATATAATTTATGTTTAAAATTAATTCACATTTAAAGTAAAGATGAATAATAAAAAATATGTACTATATTGATCTTCATGTTCGACAACGTGAAACACTAAAAAAGGCAAATTTAAGTCAAGTCAAAGTATTGTCAAGTAAAAAGGCTTTACTGTCTATTTGCCAAAAAAAATGTTCCCCATTATTAAGATACTCTAAATATTCCATGTTATTGAAAAACTTTCTTTGGGTCAAACCTGTGCAGTTAACAATCCCAGTGCCATTATCCTTCATCAATTAGGTGAATAATATTCTATGACATAGTATAACAACTTTTTACACTACCAAGTAGGTCAATGTCATTTCACAGTAAAACACTGACAAGACAGAGAAACAACTTCATAAATGCAACACTCGCTTGGATTCAGTGTTGGTAGGGCTCGTTATGGACTGCAGGTTTAAAAGCCAAACAGAGTATAATTTCATTGGTCTTTCACCACAACAACTATGATGAACAGGGACTGACATATTCAATTACACTTCAGTGTACTGAAAATCCAATTCTGTGTCAAAATGTGGGATTGCATAAGAGAGGAATTGGAAGCTCTGAGATTTCAGACTGAGACCGAACAATACAGACCTCCATCTGCGGTGATCCTGTGTGTGAACGATAAAGACACAAAGACAGACGATAATAAGAGAAAATGTTAAGTGAGCATGATGAGAGAGGAATTTATCGGTAGTTAGAGCCAATGTCTTGAGGAACATCACCCTGCGGGCAGACAAAAAGCCTATCCAAGATCCTCTGCAAGAGTCCAAGAGAGGAAAACAAGAGAGCAACAACCACATACTCTAGTTAATGTTTCAGGTACCGTAAAACACATTTATATTACTTATTTGCACAGCAGAAAAGAACAAAAAAAAAACATGGTGCATGGCTCTGTGTAGCTTACTCTCTTAGGTGAAGTTATTTCTGACACATTATTTATGGTAAGTATTAACGTGGTTGCAACATCATCACACCCAACACTGTTGAAATTGTTGACAGTTAACGGTACATTCCCTGATTTAGTTACAGTGGCAAACAGAGTCCCAAATCGAAACTTCAACAAGCATGGAGGAAATTTGAGAGTTCGAGGAATTTAGGTTTTTGCTATCAGTAACTAAGACTGAATCAGATTTAAGGTTCATTAGCCGACTGATCTTCATTGTCAGATTTCACAGGCTCCAAAAGAGAATATGTTATCAGTCTGAGTGCTAGTCAAACATCTTTAAACCTCTCATATTCTAAAATATTGTAAGCTGATGTGTTTTTTTTTTTTAAGTCTTTTCTCAGTGGTCTGGCTTCACTTAATACTTATCAATTACTTTTTGGCAGACAGGAGCAAGATTTAAAGGCTAACTTCATGGTTATTAATATTAAGCACTAAGACTTTAATGGACATCCACCTGTGAATATCCAGCCCTGTAGGATGATCTTTCGCTTTGCTCTGGAGGTACAGAATGAAACCATCATCATTATGGTGGAAAATTATTAGTGAAATAAGAAAAAGTAATTGCTCAATCCTTAAATCCATTTGCCTTCATTGGTTCTATTTTTAAGTTAGCAATGACATAACAAAAACTGGAACGGAAACAGATGTAACACCTGTTAATTAGAGATCAAAAAAATCTGTTCCTCATTGCAGAACAGATTTCTCTTCTGAATCTTCTAAAGCAACAAATGTTATTGGTAACATACCAGACCAGCTCAGTCCAGTCCTGCTTAAAGCTGCAAATGTTTTGTAACAATTTAGCTTTTTTTCTTTCCTAGAACCAGAGAACACTCCTAGAAAACTACGACAGGGAATTTACAATTGAAGAAATCAGAGAATGCTATTCAACAGTATTGTATTGTGAATAATAAGGCCAACAGATTTAAAAAAAAAAAAAAAATGAAAGTCAAATCTCTATTGAACCTGTTTTGGAAAAGAGTGGAAATGACAGATGTGTCAACAAAACCGCTGAGAATAAAGCTGCACTTTGTTCACGTGGGGTGAAGCAGTGTTGCAATCTGAGTTTAACTTCGTTGAAATTTTCGTCACAGTGTTGGAAAAGTCCCAAGCTCCTGGCCTCAAACTGTAAACAACGCAGGGATTAAGTCATAGCTTTACACAAATTATTTGGTTATCCTGTCATCTTTCCAGAGCGCTCACAATAATTCTTCAGTCCAGATCCCAGGGAAAGAAATTCCACTTCATATATGGAAACAATAAAAAAAACTGTACAAGTTATTATAGCTGTATCTTGAGCTACGAATCAGTACCACTGGGAATTTTCGCTACGGTCAGGTAACAAGGAAAGATTAGCTATCTTTGCTAAACACTCAAGTTTGGTGGTTCATTAGAGCAGAAACCTCAAAAAGAAATATGCAGAAAGATTGTTCTAGTATTTTGGCCTGGATTGAGGGGATCATAGCTTGGTATTCATAAAATTGCTCAAGTTCCTAAAACAGAACCAAGAACTTTTCCTTTGTTCATCGACAAACTGACATGATACTTCAGCTGCCAGACTGACCAGAATTCAATAAAATGCAAAAATGAATAACATTGTGTCCAAATGTTTTCAGACAAAGATCCACAGCTTGTTTTACATGTCTCTCAGTGAGTGCCAGCACCACATCAAAGACAGCTCTCTAACAAAACTACCTCTATTAACACAGAAATATAGTACAGACTACACAAATACATGTGATCAAATCAGCCAGGAAACAGAAACAGAGGTGAAAGAGGATCAATACCAAAAATGGAAAAAAAAATACTCATCTGAAACTAAGTCCAGCACTTTAAATTTTCCGTGAATATATTTACATTTAAATGTACTTAAGTTGAGTAATGATCACAGGGGATGTTTTTTTGGGTTTTTTTTTTTTTTGGTGACTAATTGAAACATCCTTTGCATGGATTCCTCTTCTCATCCTTTAAACCCCTAGTAGTAACTAAAGCAGTTGAGAAGTGAAATGGGAATATTCAAGTAAAGCGTGAATATAGTCTTTAAAAATTTAACTGCATAACTGCACATTTAAGTGTCAAGGAATGGCCATCTGGTGTAGCAAGCAATTTGGGGTGAGCGGAGGGGTAGCAAAGCAAGACAAGGATGTGGTCCTTGATGTGGTCCAGCAGGTTATCATCAGGTTATCATCAATCATTAAATAACAGCTGAAGGATATGTAGCTTCCCTCAGGAATGCCATCAGTAAATTTATAGTCCCTCTGTGATTTTCAGACTAGTCTGAAAATCTTTAACATCTTTTTACTCCACTCAGCTATAAATAAGCAGCACCCCAGGCTCTCTGGCATGCAGTACCACTGTCATCCTGACAAGGAACAAGAAAGATGTGGGTATCTTGTGTTATCCTGGCGCGGTTAAAGTGTGACCGCTTAGCTGCAAAGACTGAAGCTGAACAAAGTGAAAAGCTTCTGATTCACTTTTATGCCACAGTGCATAGTACAAGAGGTGTCCATTTTCAAAAGCAAGGGTCATTAAAGTGTACGTTTCATAACCTCATCATCAGCGTTGCGCATGAACTCGTTCAATGGACACGTGCATATTTTTTGTGAACGCCAAACTGAACGAATCGGTCGTCGCTCACGATTTACGATAGTTTTACGGCACGCCGCATGACGTCTCCTTAGACACGGCCCAGCATGGCTGGCGCTAGCGGCACAGACGGACAGCAAAGACGCATCTAGTACTGCTGAAGCCAGTTTGTTTGAGCATTTGAAGCAGTTCAATTAACAAACAAGTGAAGACTCATACGGATTATATTTATATACGGATTTTGAATGTAACTAATCTCTGTGATTCTTCAGTGGTGTACAATAATTCATTTAGTTTCTGAGTGACAATGATTTGGGGCTGGTGATGGATGGTAGAAGGGGGTTACATTTAAAGAGAATAGCGGCCTTTATTTAAAAAAACAACAACAAATTAACATGAACAAGTTCATTTTTAGTTCAAAATTAAAAAAAAAAAAAAAAAAAATTACTATGAACTTGAACTAGTTAACTAGTTAATTTTCATCTGTATGAACTGAACTTTGAACTAGTTCTTTGTGTGAACTGGCACAGTGTGAACACTGATCATCATTAAAGAGAGGGGTTGGGGGGGTGGTCTTGCTGGCTTGCTGGCTTGCTTGCTGTACACCCAGATGTTCACACTGCTAATACCCACTGATGGAACAATTAGGGCTCCCAGTAAGTGTGTTGCTCAGGGGCATCTCAACAGCAAATGCTGTGAAGAAAGAATGAATTTGTTTCGTTCACTTTTCTTGCTCACTGATCACACACTTTTGACTGGCTTAATTCTCACACCATGAGGCCACGCATTAGGTAAGGCGGACGTGTTATCAGTAGTCAGCATGCTAACATTTGCTAATTAACTCGAATAAGTATAGCTGACTCTGCAGGGAATGTCATTAGTTTTGTCATAAAGTATTAGACAAACGGTGATGGTGCTAGAAATTACAGCAGAAAAAATTTAAGGTATCACCAAAGTGCACAATTCATTTACAGTCCATCCTGTGGGAGACATGAATATCTGTATTAGATTGTATAACAATCCATCCAATTGTTATTGAGACATTTAATTTAAAACCACAATGTCAACCTCGTGGTATTAGAGGAAAAGTCAGGGGATCACCAAGGTGGTTGAGATTCATCATCTGGGAACCATAAATGTTTGTAAAAAGTTTCATGGAAATCTATCTGATAGATGTTGAGATATGTTCGCTTGGACCAAAGAAGTGGACAGACTGACTGACCGACAGATCCCAAGAGCTGTGCTGCTAGCATGGTTGGAAAAATTACATTAAAAAAATTCAACAGGAACAATGTTACTCTGGATAATGCTTTCTAATGTTTTTACTGGAACTACTTTCTGCAGAAGAAATTGTCTCTGTGAAAACTGTTGACTGTTCTGTGGATTATCCAGAGTAAAGAGGTCACTTATTCTGGATAGAGATGTCCTGGCAGAATTTTTTTTTTTATGCACCATGAGCACCACAAATTAAATCTGTTCACTTTCATTATTTTGGCAAGGAGGCAGAAATCTCAGAGATGTACTTCATCTAAAAAATCTGAGCAAATAAAACCAAAACAGTCGGCATATCGGTATATTGGTATATCCACCACTAGTGGTACGACTCTTTAACTTACTTTAAACATTTTCTGGGCAAAGGTTAAAGTGACCTGAATAGAAAACACATAAAAAAAACTTGTGCAGATGTGCATGTTTGCCGGGATGTGCAGACATCCAGGCAAGTATGTTTGGAAGGAAAACCTAATATTGCAGAAAGATGGGGAAAGATGGAAAGGCAGAGAAGAGACAAAGAGACAGACAGAGAGAATGACTAAACATTCTGATCATGTTTTGTTGGTGAATCCAAAAATGGAGAAGCAGTAACTGAGACAAGATGCTGCAAATGTGAAATACAATGTTGTGGAAAAAAAAAACGTCAAAACATAATGTGCACCACATATCAATGTTTCGTGGTCTGGAGGTACACAAATGTTTCACTACATAACCAATATGTTTCATCATCACGAGCTCCCACGGAACAGAACCACCTCCAACCGAAGCCACAGACAGACGTGCTCTCTAACAAAGCCATATGATGCTCTGCACCACTTTAGAATGAAAGCTGCATCTACAACCTACTACGCTTGATTCAAAAAACTTGAGCCAGCTGCAGTGGAGTAAAACATGTGTCATAGACGTGTTAATGAGTGGTCCCCATTTTATTAGTTTGGCTTCTTTTGTAGAGGTCAGAGTTTCTGTCACGCAGCCTGGTTAGACTGGCATCTGGATCTCTAGTGTAAAATGGGCTAATTGACAGAGGGAATGAGCCAGAGCATATGGTTTGATTTTAACAGTGTGGGTGGTGTTTTTCTAAACCTTACTGACAGGCCTTCCTCCTTCCGTTTCTTCTAATTTCCCCTAATTAGACCTGACCTTCACCTTAATGACCGCTCACTCAGTCACACAGGGTTTGTCTGTACTTACGGTGGGTATGTCTTTTTGTATACATTTTACATGTGTGTGTAAAGAGAAACAGATAAAACACAGGGAAAAAGATCAAATCATTGATATGTTTGTATGCATTCCTACAGTATGTGCAATAGACAAATGGCAGGTGTTACTAATTTAACACACACATACACGCTTGGGCTCCTTTTCTCCACATTATGCATCAGCCTCTCTAAGGAACAGCGTTAATAGTGGTTATTACTGGCTACTGCATTTACACAGTGTGCCGATAATGGTGGAAAAGCACAACATGGCCTGTGCTGTTAAGTGAGTAGTCTGTTTTTTTCAGAAGACTGCAGGTAGATTTCTGCAGTTTTCTATGGACAAAATAATAAAATAGAAAAAAAAGGGTAAAATACCTACTGTTGCCACGTAACCGCATCTACAACTGAGCCAGCATTCTTCATGAACCTGAAAGTCAGAAAAACAGAGGTATCTTTACCTGAGTGGTACTAATACTTCAAAGTCTTCAACCTTTTCCACAGTTGTAGTCATTAATACTATGGTAACATTTTACCCCCCCAACATAACTGCCAAGACCTGGGGATGTGGAAATATTGCAAGAACCTTTACAGCAGTCAGGGTGCAACACAGGTTGTCAACATTTTGCCCCAAGTTATTGGGAAAATGAAAACAATAATTTGTTAAGTCTGTTAAAAGTAACCTTTTAATCACGTTTAAAGGAAAATGTTTTGAAAATATCTTGACAAGCCAAAATTTAAGACATACAATATAAGTATATGGAACAAATGCTGGCTGTGATTCGTATGTTATGTGTTGCTCATCTACAAACCAAAGAGCTACAGTTGTACAGCAGATAACTGGGATTCTTCCTCTGGGGTGTCATTTTAAAGTCCTACTTTAAGCGTTTTCTGGAGCTGTTTCTGCAGCCTGTAAAGTTTGATTCCAGTTAGTTAAATACAAACTCCAAACATCTTGAGGACACAAAAACTGTTGTGAACCCGGTGTACCTTTTAATGGACTCATCCTGTACACAAACAAAAACTCTACACATACACAGTCCCCCCTGCTGTCTGCCTTCCTGCTCTCAAGCTTTTGCATCTGCGTGTGTATGTGTGTGTTTCCTCATCTACCTGACCCAAACCGCTCCATATTTGGGGGTAACAGCTTGTCATGCCCAAAAGTGTGTCTCTAAACATCATGTCACAGAAACACAACTTTCACCGCTCTGGCTTGTTTAGTCTGTGGAGCTCTGATATTTGGACTGTTGAGCAGCTCAGCGTCTAATTCATCTTATTTCCTGAGAGCAGCAGAGTAGTTGGGCTGTCAAACACAAGAGCCACCCCCTCGTAACAGTGTCAAACACACAAGAATCAGCCCGTTGTTAAATGTGACACCCATGACCCGTGGATACTCCAACTCTCTCTTCTTCATCCTCTCAGTCCTCCTCCTCCTCTCACCACTCATCGTCTACATCCTCCCTTTCCTCAGAGTCCACAGCTCTTCAATCAGTCTGAACTGTGCAGTACACATACACACACAGCTGCGCACAAACATACACCTTTTATTTATGAGTAAATTTGAACCGTCAGCACTCAGTGAGATAAACAGCAGTTCCTAATGGTTTCACTGATGTAAGTAGCTCAAGTACATAGAGGAGGGAGATCCACATCCAATTATTCTTTCTCCTCTGTCCTCCAACTACCTGTCAAAATGTGTGTGGTTGCAGAGAGAAGCTGGAGACAGATTCAGGCTGAGATACACTGAGACATTAAACTGTTCCTGTGCACTTATCTGCACATGCGCTTGCATATGCATGAGTGTCAAAGCACTGTAATTTTAGCTCACATTAGTTTAACTTTATGGACTCTAGGCTGGTTAAAAGGAATTCTTTTCCCTGCTTATTTAACAATGACTGTTAAATTCAGGGCTATATATTCCACTTCTTTCACTCTTATTGTTACTTACGTAAAAACAACACTCTCCTAAATCTGTGGTGACAGACTAGTACTTTATTAACAGCCCCCTTTCAACCAGAACAGAAAGTAGATGTTTAATGTTGATGGTTTTTGTCCACAACCAACTCTAACCTGCCTACTCAAAAATCATGGAGCTCATAACAATGTTCCATCTTTATTTACTCATAGCAATAAGTTGTAACTCCCCCATATAGCATTATTTTCAAAAACTATATAAATTTTTAATGAATTGCATTACACACATCAAAACGAAGTTATAATCAGATTAAAGGCCATTTTGTAAGAGTTCATCAGTGTGCAGTTTTTTTTTTTTATCAATAATAACTCAACATTTATTGTGTTTTACTATGTTGTCATTCATTATTTGTTTAGGTACAGCAGCCTCCATTTATGAGTGGCCACAGGAGGAGTAATGGTTGTTGATAAATGCATTAATAAATGCTCATTATCTGCTAACAACTAGAGTTTTATAAACAATTTGTTAAATGTTTATATACTGGCCATAAATGCTAACTACGAGGGTTAAAGTAATACAATTCTAAATTCAAGTTTTATGTTCGTGACAGTATTGAGGTATTTTCTTCTTCAGCAAAAAGAAAACATCTCTCCATAAGGTCACTCTTTATTTGGATTGTTCAGTGTTGTCAGAGTTGTGTACATCTATCTGTGTTTGATTTTCAGTCTGTGTTTGTTGTACAGGGCCACTGATGCATCCATTTTACACTAGTTTGTTTCCATTTCAACAGACAGAAAAGCTCGGAAAGGCTTAACTTTTTTGGAAGTGATGAAAATGTTTGAGAGATAGTGTCATCTATTTGGACAATAGAACTGAGAAAACATTTCTTGTTTAAAGGGAGTTTCTACAAACTAAGACAAGCGGTAACACTCAAACACTGCATACTTATGAATACATACATGAATTTTCCCTAGGACATAAATAAAGCATCTATCTATCTATCTATCTATCTATCTATCTATCTATCTATCTATCTATCTATCTACTTATGTTCAATGTCTGCTACAGAGTGGCTAAAATTAATGCAGTCAACCACTCGTCAAATGACATTGTCTATCTGAGTTAAACATTTGCAACATTTTATCCCATATCCTCCCTTTTTTCTGTCCAATCTAAACTGATTTTATTCTAAACGGGAAAACAGTAGGAGTTGGAAAACCTGTCTGATCTGAGATTTGTACTGAGTGTACATTTTGTGTCTCAGACAGCTGCCCAACTGTAAACTTTTAACTAAACTTCAAGGCAGAAGAGCTTAAGTTGGTGACAGTTGCTTACATGCTTGTTGTCAGCAGAAAGGTGGTTGGTTGGAAAAGTTGTTCAGTTGTTTTGTGCTTTTTATGTATTATGTATTTTATGTATTCTTAATAGTTTTGTTAAAAGGAAGAAGAAAGGTTTTCTAGGGAAATACCCAAAATACTCCTTTGTGTCTCAGCTGGCTAGAGGGGTGTGTCGGTGTCTGTGTTTGATTGATAGCAGCTGATAGGCAGCTGGAGTGCCCATCTTATATAGAAGTCTACTCCGCTTTTGAATATAGTTTCTCACTCGTTAAAATTAGTTTTCCTGTAGCACTTTCTGCTGTGGTTGGTGTGAGGGCTTGGGTTATGGATAGGTTTAGCAGAGATAACTTAAGGTTGGAGTCAGGTTAAGAATCTCTGAACATGACTGGTTGGGGTTAGGGATATGGTTTGTTTCATACTTACTTTAGGGGAAACACATATCGACAGGGAAACAGTATTAGACACTGAATCTGGAGGCAATGGCAGCCAAAGTAAACAAACTTGCACTAAATCCTAGATGTCATGGGAGGAAGAGTAGGTATACATGCTGTTTAATGTGTTGCAGCTGAGCAGCTACTAAGCGATCCAGCCTCCAAACTAGCATTAGTAGTGCACTTTTCCCTGGTGTATGTTTGTCTTTTCAACAAGCTGAGATGAAGGATAAGACGCATGTTGATATTTGATGCTGATATTGCAGCTCCATGCATGATTTGATTGGCTGTATCGAAATGATACATAGACAGATACCAGAACAGTATTCAGTTGAATCAATGCAAAACTAGGAACCACCAGCATGAAACCAAAATATATAAATTTCTCCCTTATGATTTCAGATTTTTTCTGAAAGGAGAACATGGGACAAGTGATCTAGAGAGCAGACAGAGATCTCTTTTCCCTAGACAATGGTAGACAGTGACATATTAATGATGTGCAGGTAATAAGGAGAATACAAAACTGACTCACTTATTGCAGTAAAGGTATGACTACAAACTATGACATTACAATCTCACGAGGGCACAGGCTGCAGCGGAGAGAGAGTTGTTGGATAAGCCATCAGAGTCAAACCAAAGCTGGTGGAGCTTCTGGGTAAAACCAGCAGGTGGGACATTGTGCCGTCACATTATCAATCAGATGACACTTTATTTAGGCTGACATGGTATAACTGGAGCTGAGACCCTAAAACCTGCAGAGTGGAAATCCATAAACACTGAACACTACTACAATGTGTGTGTATGTGTGGGTGCATTAAACAGAGTAAAGCCCAGTAAAAGTCCCAAACCACTGCAGCATACTTTCCACTACCTTTCCCTTTTGTTAGGGATAGCCTAACAAGGAGTGGAATCCTGCCCAATCATTGTTGTACTTGCTGACTCACCCATCCAGCAGCAGGATGGCGTTCTTCCGGGGTCGTCCTGCATTGGGGCCGTAGAGGTGAGCGCGGTGATAGTAGCGTACGGACTGCAGCAGGGTCCGCAGCTTGGCGTAGTCCTGAGCCAACTGGGTACTGTTGACTGCACGACCCACCATGCTGCGGTAGGCATTCGGCTCTGGGAAGAGGAGACAAAGTAGAGTGAGCTGGAGAGATAAAGTTTATACAAGCAACAGTGGGGAGGTGGCAGAGAATATTATTGTTGTTGTAGTCTGATCTTGCTCTCCTAGAGAGTATCCAACAGCCAGTAGAAAAAGGGATAATTGGGCAATTCGTAGTAATACAGACAGATGGACTCGGTGTCAGGGGAATGGTCCAAGCACACAGGGTGGCCTTACAGAATGAGTAAAACAAAGAGAGAAAGGGAGCTTGGTTCCTAAAAGGAGGAAAACTAAACTTTTGCAGACCCACTGCTGTTTAACCATTGAAGAGCATTGTATTTATATCTGTTCCAGTTTCTGTTTGAGCTGTAAAATAAAATTTTAAATGTGTATGTTTTGTGTGTGTGTATGCAGCTGCGTCTGTGCTGTATTCCTGAAAACTATAATGAGAATATTATTAGCAAATTTCAATGGATCACCTTTTCATTCAACCTCTGCAAATTCGCTCTCTGTCTGCACTGTCTGGATGATTTACTTGAAATGATTACTTTCGCTACGGTTCAAGCCCTCACTAAAATTTTCACATGGTCCAATCAATGGATTTTGCATGGTACTTTTAGGCTTAGGCTAAAGTGAAAGTTTCTTTTGTCGGCTTTATTATGGATGAAGTGAAAGGAAAATATGAAGTGATGTGCAGCAGGCGAACACAGGGCGGCTCTGTGTGAAATGCAGCTCCCCAGGAACACAGATGGTTAGGATGACACGAGGACTAGCAGTTCCTTTCATCCCTGAATGAACCCTCGCTTTAACCCTTAATCTGCTAGACACACATTCACCATTCATTCTCTAAATTATGTCTCTGTAACGAGTAAATGTTGCATGAACAAAATATGTGACTGCTTTCTCATAGCACAATTTCAGTGGAGAAAAAAACTTGAATCTTGTAATTAAAAAAAATGTCCTTTACTTTACCAATCCTTCATTGATGTGAAAGCCCTTCATTTAAATTCTGTTAGTTATGTATTAGAAGTGACAGGCTATTAAATGTTTCTGGGTGTGAAGGTTTCCAGTGAGGTGCAGGAACAGAGACCCATCACCTCTCTAGTTTGAGAACAAACCTGCTGCAGATAGTTTATGGCTGGTTAAGTTAGGCATTGACAAGTTTATGTGTTTTTGTTATCAGGTTACAACTGTTGACATCCAGGTTAAGGTAACAATTTAATTGAGGTTTAGTCTAAAACTGTTGAAGATTGCCATCTTTCTGCTTGCAGTTTGATCATTCTTAATATTTCTTTGCAAGAACCTTTAAAATCTGTGAAAAGGTATTTGTTCTTGGACTAACTCCTCTCCTCCATTTCACTTTCCTTTTTTAAATATTGATAGTCAATATCTATGCACATATGAGTCAATTATATTTATGCCAAAAAATCCTCTTTAAGTCCTATCATTTAAAATAGAGGTACCTCATTGCACATCAATAGACAGCAGCACACACATAACTTTACTTTTTACAACAGACTGGAGCCTGTCATGTTATTTAGTAGGCAGTATGTGTATTAGTACAGGTATTGCTGTACTGACCGTTGCCCAGCTCCCAGGAGATGTTGTACTTCTTGCCAGCGCTGTACTTCAGGAGGCTCAGTGTGGAGGAGGTGTTCCAGGAGTTGTCCGGGTTTCTGTGCAGTGCGTTAAGCCCCAGGATCAGATGCAGACCAGCACAGTCGGCAAAGTTGTACAGTTTGTCTAAAGACCTGGCTGGGAGAAACCCACAAAGCAGTTGTAACTTTGATTCTTCTATGCACCTGGAGTCATGTGAACATATGAACATGATGGAGACCATGTGGAACTCAATGATCTACTGGTTCTCATGTCCATGTACTGTGGGAATACACTTCTATTGTTCTACAGCCATATCTGGAACTCAATTTCTGGTGCTCTCTGTCCCACATGTATTTGCAGCTATCTTGGTTTTCTTATTATTTCTTGTAGTTTCATGTAATTGAAGAAAATATAATAAACATCTGTTTTCACTTTTGAGTACAAAGTAAAACCCATGTTTGTATAACTAAAAAGAAATAAAAAATCATTACAGTAACGTGATCAGTTTGATCATCAAGTTCATATGCAACAAGTCTGGCTAAACACTAGTATCAGGTATGTTGTGTCATAAGGAACTCTGCAAGTTCTCAATGCTGAGAAAGAGTAAAAAAGTTTTAAAGATCACCAAATGAAAAAAAGCCATTGGAAAAACATTGGGTTTGTCCATTTAAACAAACAAGCTCTTTCCCATGTGACTCTTAAAAACAGGGTGGCTTCTTCTAAATTCTTCAACCTCAGTAAATTGTAACATATACAATTAGCAAAAGAAAACTGCATTTCTCAACAGTAACGTGTATGGAAATTCTGTGTGTACTGTTTTTTGGATAAACTGTGAGCTACTGCTGGGATTTATTCTGCAATCATTTGTCATGTTCCAGGTACTGAACTTTTAGTGCACGTGACGCGCGTCCATTTGTACACATGACAGCTGAGTCTCGTCTTCAGCAACATTCAGTGAGAATCCAGACGGACTGATTTTCCCATCATGGACTCCTGTGGTGATGTGCTCCTCAAAGCAGCTAACACAGGATTGTTCTGTTCTGCAGCTGACTGCTCACTCACGTTTATGTCTGCTGTCTCCATCAAAACACATTATTCTCACTGCGCAGTAAAGGACGAGCGCCTACCACAGATGTTGGCATATGGTAAGAGTGCCAAAATTGTTTGTTTATATTTTAATGTGTGACTGCAGGCTCCTGCTGGATACCTTGGGCTTTTGTTTTGAAATTTAATCTGTTTGGAGTCATTCCATTATCATAAATATTACCCTGAACTCCGACCCTTATTTCCTAGGCTCAACAGGAAACAGATGAAGACTGTTTTGCCGGTCTGGTTCCTGCTAGAGTTTGCCCTCAACTGTGAGTTTGGCACCAGCTGAGCTTGCCAACTGATAGCTCCGTTCAATGTGGATTGGTGACAAAAGCAGAGCAGACCAGAGTGCATGTGAGGTTATTCTTCTGGATGCATGTCAAGCTGTTAAAAGGGTGCACGCCTTTTTAAAATTCGAATATTTAATAAATGGACGTGAGAGATACAAATGTCTGGCCTTAAATCAGAGTCAGAACACATTTGAACACTGAACAATGCTTATTATGTCACGCTTGAGCTCAAATATGGTTTTTTTATTCAGCATTCACTGTAAGCCTTTACTTCCAATAGGGCAGCGGTTATGTATAATCCACAGAGCAAATAGAGAGAACAGAAAGATTGCTTGTTGCACCTGGCATTAATTCGGTTTCCAGCAAGGGCAGGACAAAGCCTGAAAACAAAAAAAAAAAAAAAAAAATGCTAACAATGGTTTTATTGCACACATCACTCTTTGGGAGTGTATTACTCCTGAGTAAACTTTCTGTTCTCCATCTCATTAATAACCACCAATAACATTATTATCATAACTGCTATTATCATAACTCCTTCCCTCTGTGGTTAAATCAGAGTGGTGTCTGTTTGCAGGAGCAGAGTTAAGGGCAACAGCAGAGAGAAAGTAGCGCCAGATGTGGCTGTCAGGATGAGTGATTCCAGGCCTTTCCTCACCTGACATCTGAGCAGAAGGCGACCAGCCTTGCTCCAAGACCTGCACACACATCATAAAGGCATCATGAGGTACATCAAGCTACTAAAAATACTGTTTCTCTGCTGGCAGGTCTGAGAGCAGCATGTATGATCAAATAAATGTCTACGTGTTTATGTGTCAGTTTGGTTCCTGGAGAATTTTACTACTGATTCTATTTAACCTGTGGCAGACAAACTTATACATGGCTTTCTTGCATCTATGCAATTTAAAGGTATGTTGAATGGTGAAGGCAAAGGTAGAGAAATAAAATCTGCAGTACTGAAAGTTCCATATTTTGCACTCGTTACCTTGCTTTTTTTTTTTTGCTTGCCAAGTACTTTGATATATATTCATTCATATTATTATATTCTTCCAGCGCATGAGCAGGATGTGGATCAGGAGTTAAATAATTTCATTTATCTGTTAATATTAATTACATGAATGGCTATCAGTTATTATATGTAACAGGTGGAGCTGAAATGATTGGTTGATTAATCTTTTAGTCTATCAACAAGACTAATGGGCAACTATTTGGAATACTGATTAAGCATTTCAGTCATTTTTAAAGCAAGAATTCCTGAAAGATGAAGATGCACTCTCAGGTTGCAGATTCTTAAATGGCAGCACCAGTTGTTTTGTCTTTGTCATAATATAACAGTACATTGAATATCAGTCATGAAGACGACACTTTGAACTCTTCACTGACCACATGTTTAACCTAATTAATGCAAAGATAATTGGCGGTTAAATCAATAGTGAAAATAATGGTTAGTTGCAGCTGTAATATTGGATCATTTTAACACTGTATTTACCAAACAGGAGGTTGGTACATACTTTTGCTACGGTTAGCCATGAGTTTGTCTTATTCTGGGTAAACAGGATGAACAATAGTAACACTCCTTGGGAACAGTCTATCCCTTTAATTGTGGTTAATTTTCAGTTAGCCTCCTGGGGGGCAGATGCTATGTTCAGTTGCTCACACTAACAATAGCTACTGGCCCAAGCTCTAAGTATAGCATCCCTGACCAGCATGGCAAAGCTCTCATTTATTGCCTGACAAGAGCAGGGCATCTTATGCTTTCCTCCAAAGAGAAAAGGATGCTGGGTAGATCCACCCTCCTGGTGTCAGGAAATCTGCAGATCAGTACGACCAAACATGAAAGAGCTCCTACACGGACACTAGCAAGCCCTGAAGCTACAAATCTGTGATCTCAGTCAGACCAAAGTAATGACATTACCAACAGATTGTGAATCTGTGTGTGTATGCACAAGCACTTTGTGTATGTGAGCTGTTAAGGCTTACTATCACATCTGCGTAACACTGAAAAGGAGAAATGCAGTAGGATTCAGTGAAATATGGAGATAAATGCTGAGGTTAGGGTGAAATAGCAGCACTTATTGTTATTGGACAGTCACTCTCCCAAATGGAAACAATACAAATGATCTACTGTTTCACAAACACAGACATAGACAATAAATCAAGCAAACGTGAAATTGCCTTTACTTCTGTTGAATGTATCAAACCAATAACAAATGGTGCACATCCCAGTGACACTGAATAATCTCTTAAAGTCAACATCATTATTCAATTTGCTTTTTTTGTAAGAATGGTAGTTTCTTATGTTGTAATATGGTTTAAAGTGGGTCTCAGAAATCTCAGTTACACATAACACAATGAAGGCCTGTCTGAGAGGTCAGACTTCAGTGGTCTCACTCAGCTATAAACTTCTCTTTTATCTTAGAAACAGTCCAGCCAGAAACAAGCAGAACAAACCCAGAAAGCTGTGTGTGCCCGCTTGTGTGTGTATGTGCCTATGTGTATGCGTGTGTTAGCGTGCCTTTGTGTGTTTGTATGTAACGGAAAGAGTGGGGTCTGGATATTGTCAAGCTGTCTATCTGATAGAAAAGCCAGCTCAGTGAAGCAGAGAGGCCGGCAGCATCAGTCAGCGCTATGCCTCATTTCTGCAGTTCTGCATATTCCCTCTAACTCTGAGGTAGACATCTACGTACACTCGGCCTGTATGCACTCACACAAACAGTGTTTGCTGGTTTATATACCACCCACATGAACCAGACACCCATCTGAACTTTCCAATGAAATCCCACTTTTCTCTGTTGTTGCACCATCAGCTGAAGAAGACATGAGAGTTATCTCCGAGTGCAGCTTTACATCATGATTTGTTTTACTTTTAAGCTGAAAGGATCACGTTACTTACATCGTATATCCTCCCTGAATAAGGAAATACCTAGCGCTGTTAGTTATGTTAGTTAAGACAGACCTGCTTTGGGGACATAAAAAAATTCCAAAATTAGAAATTCAACTTTAAAATTTCAAGCAACACTTTTGTTTTTGTCAGGGACTATTTTTTTTTACCTCACCATGAAGTGAGTTCTTGGTGGTGTCTCTTTGATGTGCTGTGGCATGGATTGGACCTTATTTGTACACTGATTTGGATAAAAGCACAAGCCAAATGAATTGTAAATCCTCAAAGTAATACATAAGGGTCTTGCATTCAAGATTTTCTATTTCTATTTTTCTATTTTATCAATGGATTTAAAAAAAAAAGTTTTTTTTTTATTTTTCAATGTTTTTTTTTTAATATTTAAAAGCTTCATTTTGTCAGGTGACAGACAAACTTGCTCTTGACCAGGTTTGGCTGGAAGTTACATTAATAATTGGCACCCATCAGCTATTTAGAGGGAACAACATCTTCTTATACTTCCTCCCCCAAAATTTGAATGAAGATGATTAGTGAAAACAACTCCTGTCTTGGACTTTAGAAATGCGGATACATTCCTTCATTCCCCATCATTTGTGCCTTGGGAGAGAAAATAGGGAGCACGGAAAAAACTTTGTTTAACCTCTCTGGTTTCATTCAGTACAGAAATATAATGACTTACTGCAAGACACAGCTTACTGCCACAGCAAATGTCAATTTGGATGTTTAGTTCCATCAAAGTCAGTCTGGAACATACAAGCACACACACATACACACACAAAGAGACTTGAGCTGAGTTCTGGCTTGCTTTAAAAGCCAAATCAAAACCAAATCCTCAAGAGACATGTGCAGACAGGGGAGAAGGCTGTTTAGAGAAATTAATT